TATTATGTGAAATAGATTCGCACAGACACCTTGTGAGTGGTTAATATTGGGAGTGTTCAAGGAATTACTTAAGAAAGAAAGGAACACCCTACCCTCATTTTTTGATGGGAGGATATTTGAAAACATTTTTTTGTTGTTGTTAATAGCATAATGACGGTGGGAGGGGGGTACGAGGGGGATAAGAAAAAATGTCATGAATGATTTTTCCAGTCCTGCCATATGTAACTCTAAATTTTATAGTTAGATCATATTCAATCTACTTATTAAACTGTGTTCTATTTACCAGTGGTATATTATGCCATTGTTTTGCATTTCACTGTAAGGATAGTAGAGTTCCTTTCCTCTGCTTTCCTCAGAGGATGGCCCTTTAACATTATTAGCCTGAGACAAGTCCTGTGATTTGAAGGTGAGCTGTGAGGATGGGACTAATTGACATGCATCAGTTTACAAAGAGGTCTTATCTTCTGAGAATGCGCCATCTTTTCCTTTGGATAATTATTTATTACATCTAGCTTGGTTCCTACATTTTGTTGGGTCTCAACATTGGCTCAAGAATGCTGTTAATATTTATTCTGTATTGATAAAAAGTCTGTCTTGCCACTATGGGTAAATCCCCCAATTAATATTTTCTTCTCTTGCATAGCACTGTCATTTTTGTGTGTGAAAATGGTTATCTGTTTATTTATTACAATACTGAGGTCATATATAAATTTTCAATAAAAGCAGAAACTTTCTTACCTTAACACTTTGCTATTTCCTTGCAATGAAACCGACACTGGTTTGAAGAGAAGTTTGTGTATCTGTAAGACTTTTCATGTGGAAAAAAATGTCTCCTTGAAGGCAGGGCAGCATACTGGACTGTATTTGGAGCTGCATAAGTTTACACCATCCCAGAGGGGTCCTGCTGACACATGAATTCAAATTGAAAAGCAATTAGTCATATTTTCTTAAGCAGTATAAACTATCATCTTTTGTAAAGGGTCATCTGTTGTTAAAAGATTTGAGGAAATTTGATTACACAGCACTGAAAAATATGCTAATAGCTTGATGAATTTTGCACATTGTTATTTTCAGTTGCATTCAACTAAAGAACTATGATTTCTGATAACTGGCTGGTCTGTAGGTGCTGAAGTAAAAGGAAGAGAGTTATGAAGGGGGACTGAGTGCATGCAGGTGTGTGTGTATGAGATAAGGGAAAAGGAACTTTTAACAAGAAGTTCTGAGCAACAGAAATTGGCGATTTTATGGCAGTTTCCCATCACTGCTCTAGAGAGGTGTTTGAAACAAAGAAGACTCATTCAACAAGTCTGCAGACAGAGAAAACAGTCCACTAGCATTTATACTTTTGCCTCGGTCAAACATACACACACATATATGTACGTACACACAAGCATTTATACATACACACACAAGTTCCTTTCGAAAAGCAGGCAGCCGCCTTCAATTGCCAGTCTTTAAAAATGAAAATAGAAACTTGCCACGGTAGAGTTTCTTCATGACAAGGGTTTTAAGTTATTGAAAAGTTATTGGAACTCAATGAAATCAGGTATCTGCACTCTGTATTAGAGCAGGAGAGCTGAGCGAGCGGCCGCTCTCCGCCCCCCGGGGCAGCTCCCAGAGGCCGGCTCGCAGCCCCGGGAAGCCGGCGGACGGAATCACCCGCCCAGAGCAGCCTGAGGTTTGGGCGACCAGCGTCATCCACTCCGTTGCCGCTGCGTTCGGGGAACCTTCCCTCCCGAGAAGCTCCACGGAGAGGCGGCTCCCCAAGGCGCTCTGGACCTGCCAAGCCTCAGATCTGCTGCCCCTTCTGCCCCAGGCCCGGTCCTCGCGGGTTTTCCACGCGGGCTGCTTTGTGGCGCCCTCATGCCCCGCAGTGGCGGCTGAGCGTGGGCCCCAGGGACTCGCGGGGTCCGGCCGGCGGCGAGGGCGCCGCGTCCGGATTCTGGCACCTTGTGCCCTGGGGCTGCCCCTCCGGAGCGCAGGCGCGAACCCAGCAATTCCAGAGGCGGGGAACCAGAAGCCCGCGCTGCGGTTTAAGGAGCTGCAGGCCCGGGGGTCGCCGAGGAGGTGGAGCGTTGGCAGACAGCGGCTGGGCACAGCCCTCAGCCGGGCTTACAGCTTGTACCCCTGGCCAGTATCCCTCGGCCCCCGAGCCAAACCCCTCCCCCTGTCCCAAGTGTCCTCCAGAGTCTGGCTCAGCCTCGAGGTCACCTGGATGCTGGATCCGGGTTCCGGGGCCCAGCTCACACGCCTCCTGGCCTGGGCTGGGTCGGTTTGCCCTCCCCCTACAATGCCCCCTCTTCCCCGCCGCCCCGCGAAGCGACCCTTGCCGAAAGGGTCTCGGCTTCTGGCTCAGCATCTCCCACCTGGACATTTGCCTAGCGACGGCCGCGGCTGTCGTCTATACCGCGAACAAGAAACTTTCATCTGTCCTCTCTTCCCCTCTCTTTTCCTCTCCTCCCTCTCTCCTTTCTTTTTCTTCTCTTAATCCTGGGATTTTATGGGTAGAGCATTAAGAAAACTCGCCGGCAATGTGGGATTAGATAAATACTCTCATTAGGGGCGGGGGTGAGGGGTGGGATCGTGCTACTTGATACCTCCCAACTTCCCCAAGACCGTGGCAGCATCTGTACCCGAGCGCCGGGCTCCAGCGTGGCGGGCCCTGGGGACCGCCTGAGCACATTCCAGCGCGCACAGCCGCCCCACCTCTCCGCGTCGGGTCTCGGCCCAGCGCTGCAGCTGCAGGCGAAACGGGCCCGAGGAAGCTGGAGCCCGAGACCTAGCGGGTCCAGAACAAGGCACGCACCTCAGCCCTGGGGAGCTAACCCAGGCACACAACGTGCAGGCCCAGGCTGGGGTAGCGCTGCGCTGGGGACGCAGATGCTTGCCAAGGCGCGCCCCAGGACGCCCGCATTCGCTTCCCCCCAAACTTGTGCGATCCAGCCCGCGCCTTTTCCAAGAACTGAAGGAGGGGGTGTATTTCGTTTCTTTCATTAAACCTTTGCACCATCCAGGTTGGGGGGGGGCGGGTTCCGAGCTGCGGCCTCGCCGACTCTACACCCCGCCGGGCCTGCGTGAGCCTAAGGTGTGTCCCCGACCCGGTCAGCGCTGCGCTCTGTGCTGTTTCTTTTCCTTGTTAAGCTTTTCTTTCTCGTGTTTTTTTCCCTTTTCTTTCGTTTCTTTTATTGTTTTCTCTGTGTGTCTTTCTCTCCCTTTTATGAATGGGCCGCGGTGTCTTTGTTCTGGAGAGAAGCGCCCGTGTCGCTGACTTTTGTGAACCAGAGAAGGATCTTGTAAAACCTCCTTTTCTCCTTCACACTCCCCACTCCCACCCCTCCTCTTTGGCCCCTTTGATTAGATGTTCCCTCATCGTACAAAAAAAAAATGTAATTTCGTTGGTCTGGCGGCCACTTTCTTTGAACATTAGCTCGCTTTCAGCTCCAACTTCAATTAGAAGGAGTTGATTTTGAGAGATCAACAAAAGAACCGGCCAAAGCCTTATTAAAGATCCTAAGAAGATCTCCCGGGTCCTTTGAGAAGCAGTTAAGGAAACAGTGTGCCCTCCATCATATTCTGTTACCGTATTTTATTCGGACTCCAAAGGAAAGTGTCGCTTGGGGGAGGGGGAAGCACTTTGATGAGCTGCGGCCACATCCCCTTTTCACTCAGCGGGCTCCCCCTTCTCTCTGCTCTCGCCCGGCGCCGGTCCGTTGTGGGTTCCCGACCCGCAGCCCAGGCAGCGCCGGCGCTCCCCACCACGACTCGCCCTCACCTCACACCCACTCCAGTTCAAACTTTTCACTCCTCCCGTAGGGGTGGAGGGGAACAGGGATTAAGAAAATGGGGTAGGAATTCCTCGAAAGGCAGTAAAGTCGTGCCTAATATTAAGGAGGAGGTGCCATTTAATACAACTGCCTTGATTAGTATTGGGCAGAAAACACGTCTTTGTTTTTGTTTTTGTTTGTGCTTTGCCAAGTCCACTCGGGTCGATGTGTTTGAGAAGTTTGTTCGACTGGGAAATGGGCCTCGCCAGTACGAACTATACGGGGAAATCGCCTCAGGGAGGCTCCTTCTGTGGCAGGAGGAATAGAAAGTAAAGCGGGGGACTGTGGCCACACTTTCCACCGGACTGTCCCTGGTAGAAGGAGACTGGGAAGGAGACAGAGACAGAGCATGAAAGAGAAAGTTTCCTATCAAAATCTTTCGGTTCAGAAGTAGAATGGTGCGAGGGAAAGGGACGCTGGGCTGCAACATTGCAAAAGAAGAGTTTAAAATCTGCAAACACCCTCCGTGGGGGATGGGAACCCCTGGAGACGCCGAGGAGCAGGTAAGTGGCGGGGCCGCGCCCCGCGGGTGCTGTTCCCGAGCGCGGGAGTACTGAGGCGCTGAGGAGGGATCTGCGCACCGGAGCTCGGCAGAGTAGCCTGTGCCGGCATGAGCCGCCCGCGGCATCGGTCTGCAGGTGGCGGCTCGGTGGAAGACGCTGGGGACCGTGGCGCCACACAAGGGGCTGAAGGCCCGCTCTCCTCCAGCCCGCGGCGCCGAAGTCCTCGCGCCCACAACTCGGCCGCCAAGCCGGGTGGCGCGCGAGGGAACCGGTTCTCCACCTGGCCTCCTCTCTGCCACTCCCTCCAGGGCGCTGAAAGGGCGAGAGGAGGGCGGGAGCCCCAGGGCGGCCTAGGGACCCGCTTCCCCTCCGCGGCCGGGTCTCGGGTGCTGAGCAAGCCTGCATCGCCCAGCTCTGCGCTGCGTTTGTCAGCCAAGCCCTGGAGTTAGCGCGCGACCCGGTGGGGCGGGGCGGGCTGGCGGGCTGCGCGGGCGGGGCGCAGGGGGAGGGGGAGGGGGAGGGCGGGGGCGCACGGAGGTAACCCTGGGCTTGGGCTGCCATTGCCCCGCTCCCTGTCACTCAGCCCGCACGGGGCCGGGGATTGGCAGCCTATCCCTGTTACGCACTCACCTCGCGTTCACATACCCAGGGAGGGCAGTAGAAAGGTGATCAATCTTCATCAGGCTACATTTCCAATCACCTAAACAACTGAGCAAGACAAGCTACTCCGACAAGGTAAATCGCTTGATTTATTTAGTTTGCAAAGTGCCTCTGCAGGACTTCCCCAGCCCCCACCGCCTCCACGTTGTATGGAGAGTGCCGCGGCCACTGCGAGCCGTCCCTCAACTCAGCTCCTCTCACTCCTACCTTTTCCCCTGGGGCCCCTCGGCACTGTCCGGGGCGAGGTAATGTCTCGGGGGCTTGTAGGGCTTCGCAAACAAAGTGTCTGCAATAAAGTGAAACCTGGAGGGACACGCACAAAGCCAGTGGAAAGGAAGGAGAAAGGAGGAGGGAAGTTGAAAGAAAGAAATCCGGGGGTCCCAGACTACCGCCAGCCCGGCGGGTAAGTCCTGTGCCTCTCTGTTTTGCAGGTTGGCTGCCCGACGGGTCGGTGAGGGTGCGAGGTAGATGGTGAGCAACCCCGGCAGCTGAGGGCAGGTAAGGAGAGAGCCGCAGGGCTGCTGGGGCTCTTGTAGCGCGGAGTGCTCTCACCTCTCCCTCCTCAGATTAGTCCCCTCTCCCCGGGTCCCGGCAGGTGGGCGGGGCCGGGGAGCGGCCGGGCGCCCCTCCTGGTGCGCAGCGGACCCCCGAGCTCCGCTGCGGCCCTGCGCCCCCGCCTCCTCCGAAGTAACCGAGCTGAAGTGCTAAGTTTGAAGAAAGTCTTTGAAACTCACGTTGCAGCCCAGCAGTTGCAGCCTAGCAAAATTGCTTCGACTGTTTCCCTTTCCTCCCCTTCCCTGCAAATTGGGTTCCCCGGCCCAGGCCATGGGTCCCGAAGGGTAGGAACCTGAGGCTTCTTTAGCTCTAACTTCTTTCCCTGAACTCCTTAGCCCGGGTCTCAGGCCTGCGCTGATTTCCCACAAAGCGGGATGAAGCGGCACGTCTCCTGGGACTCCAATCGACTCCCCTAGCACCAGCTCCTTACTCCTGAGAGTAGCGCTTCGGGTTCTGGGCAACTGGGGAAACCAGGCTGACCTTCCCGTCCGGTCAGCGCGAGCGACGGCTCAGAGGCCTAGTTCTCCGGTCGCCATGGGGTGCTGGGGCCGGGAGTTCAGTTAGTAGGGAAGAACGGGAGCGCACGGGAACTTGCTGCCCTCAAGCCTCCCAAACATGTGAGAGCCCTTGGGGAACTGGTCGGATCACCTTTCAGCCCCTCGCCTGGACCCTATTGTCCGCCACCAGGACCTGCAGAAAAAAGAACCGGCTTGAGTTGGTGCAGACAGGCCTAAGGCCCGGGAGGGGCACCTCTAACCTAGGGCCGCGTTTTAGAACCTCATTGCTACAGTGGCCCCTTCTGCGTCTTCTGACCGCTTCTGCGGCACCTGGGCCCGTAACTGAAGTTGGAGCGTAGTGTGATTTCGGGTGAGCAATCTTTCCACGGCTGGGTACAGAGAGGCCAACTGGAGGGGTAGCTGTGGGCTCTGAGGTCCGCACCTAGCCTCTGAGACCTTTGGAGGAACGTACTCTCCTGAGTGGGCAATGCTTCCCGGAGAGGTAATCTCTACCTTTCCTCTGGATTTCAAAAAAGATTTCAAACAAAACGAAACAACCCCTCATCCTTTGGGCGGCCTGCCACCCAGGTCACCTAGTGAACGTTTCCTGGTGCATATGGGGCCGGCTCTCAGTGCACTAGATTTGCTTAGACTTGGACCTTGTACACTTTTCTGTTCAGGCTCTGACCTCCCCAGCGTGGCCCTACTTTTAACCTCTCCTCAATCTTACCGACACCGTACTAGTTTATTTGGCCCATTTTAACCCCGAAAAGAAGTAATGGAGATCCAGAAAAGTTTGCTTCTCAAAGAAGTCTTTGGTCTTTGGTCTAAGGCCTTGTAGAGGCGAGTTGACTGCCCTGTGCAGCTTGTAGCCTATGTCCCTCCCCATGCCGAGGCTCCCTGCTTCTGACAAGACCAGGAAGCCGAGATGGTTGTGAATAACTGTTTCTTGTGTCTCTTGTCTCCATAGGCCGAGTCCACAGACGAAACAGAGCTTGAAGGACTGAGCGGTGGGAGCCCCGCATTGCGCCAGGCCCCCTGGATCCGTCGGGGCGCCTCCACACGGCTGTTAGCATGATGTCTTACCTCAAACAACCCCCATATGGCATGAACGGGCTGGGCCTGGCCGGGCCTGCCATGGACCTCCTGCATCCCTCCGTGGGCTATCCTGGTGAGCGCCAGCCCCTTGGGGACACCAACCTCTTGGGTTTGTGTACACACTTTGTGGCTTTGTAGGCCCATGGAGCTGGTTGCCTTGACTGTTTATGATGCTGGGCACAGGGCAGGATGGTGAAGTGGGCCAGGGTGGTGGAAATGGGCAACGTGCACCCTCACCTGTCTCTTTTTGTGACCCTACCTCCCACATAGGGATTCATTCTCCATAGGTGCCTTTTTTGGTGTGTGCATGTGTGACTCTCTTCCTTCCCCCCAGCATTGAACGAGGAATCTAGACACTCACCATGCCTTGGCAAAAAGAGGCAAGCTTTCCTGATGCCAAGCGACTGGCTGAGCTGAGGAAGGGGGTTCTCCCTCCCTCAGTTGTCCTCAAGACCAGTTGTCTACACTGGCTTTTGCACTGCTATTGTGGATGGCTTGTGAGGGATTCTGGCTTTCTTTCCTGGCTCCCACTTTTTCTTTCACTCCCATTTATTCCCTTAGAAAGAAAAGTGTTTTCCAGGTGGTGTGTCTGTGCACCCCTTTCCCACTCTCCAGCCAGGGTGTGGTGTGGGGGGGGGGGAGAAGAGAGAGACTGCATACTTTCTGTTCCTTTCTTAACCTCCCAGAGTCAGGGAAGGGGCAGCCCCGGCGTCTTGATACTGGCTCAAAGTGACACACAAGCACTTTCTACCACCTGTGGCCTCTCAGGCTCGGCCTCTGGGGGAGTTTCTTTTGCTCGGAGCTTGGTTTTCTTTTTGCATTGGCTTCTCTCAGGCCTGCGAGGGGCCTGTCCACACGTCCTCTGTCGCGGGTCCCCCCGGTCACAGCTGACCCGAGGCGCTCCCGCGTGTCCCCTCAGCCACCCCGCGGAAGCAGAGGCGGGAGCGCACCACCTTCACGCGCTCGCAGCTGGACGTGCTCGAGGCGCTCTTTGCCAAGACTCGCTACCCTGACATTTTCATGCGCGAGGAGGTGGCGCTCAAGATCAACCTGCCGGAGTCCAGAGTCCAGGTGCGCTCCGGACGCTCCAGGGTCAGGGTAGGGGCTCTGGGGCTGGTAGTAGAGGGCCTGGGTGTGGGGTTGGTCTGGTTTGGGGGCGGGCTTACAGACTGGGCAGCTCTTCCCAGACACCCTCCACCACCCCCCGGCAGCTAAGTAAAGTTAAAGGAACTAGCTTAGAGCCTGGGTTTGGCCCTTGGCCCCGGGGCGCCTTAGGTATCAAAGTCCTTTTTAGGATGTGGGGAAGGACAGACGAGGCTCTCCCGAAGGTAAACAGCTCTGGGGGTCAGACCATTGCCTCTGTTTCTTGGGCCGCCCCAGGACTCGGCAGTTTCCTTTCCTTCGGGGTCCTGAATTCTGCCTCAGCCCTTGCCTTGCATCCTGGGGATCCTAGAAATGGAAGAGTGGAGCTTGGCTGGAGCCTCGCACCCTGTCTGGGAGTGCGTCCCGCGGGTAGCGCCAGTTTGATTAGACGCTTCCTTTGCTCCGAGAAGATGCTGAACGCAAAAATGGGCTCTCGGCTTTGCTGTTTCTGTTTTTGCGATGAAAGAGCTCCGAAAATACTGGATTATAACTTAGAACTCTTCGCAAGGGTCTTTTATCTTGCCTTCTTCCCATGGAGGTTTGAGAGAGAACCATGAATGCAATGCCAAGTACCGGGGCCTTCCAAGATGAGTGAGAACTTCATGATTGACTGTACTATTTGGTTCCTTACTCGGAGCCAAGAAGCCCAAAGAAACTCTGCCCAGGCTTCCTTTCCTAGTCTCCGGAGTACTGCCTCTGTTTAGCTTCCTGACCTTGCTCCTGCTTCCACCCCAACTCTCGCCTGCCCAGCACCAGGCCTTTGGGGCAGACTGGCTCTGACCTCAAACTTGGTGACTGTCCCGTACTTCATGGCTCTGTGCCTCTCCACTGCTACCTGAGCTCTAGGCCAGAAGACAGGACCTCCAAACATAACACGGGCTGTTGGGGAGAAGCCGACAGCAGCAGTTTAGAGATGGCTGAACTTGCGGCTGGACAGAAGCATATGTTCCACCCAAGGGCAGAGTTGCTTTAGGGGTGGGAATGGGGCACACCCCTATTTAGCCTGAGGAGGGTCGTTAAGCATCAGGATGGGGGAGGGTGGAGAAGCTGGGAAGGCTGGGGCTGGATCTGGCAGGGCTAGTGATGGGGAGGGGCGGAGGCGAGATTCTAGGCGGGGTGGTGGGCCCGAGGGGCGGAGGAGTAGCAAGGTCTACTAGCCTACTGACAAGCTTTCCCCCACCCGGGCTACTTCAGGTCTGGTTCAAGAACCGTCGTGCCAAATGCCGTCAGCAGCAGCAGAGCGGGAACGGGACCAAGAGTCGCCCAGCCAAGAAGAAGTCGTCCCCGGTGCGGGAGAGCTCCGGTTCGGAAAGCAGCGGCCAGTTCACACCGCCTACTGTGTCCAGCTCCGCCTCGTCCTCCAGCTCGGCTTCTAGCGCTTCCGCCAACCCAGCGGCTGCAGCGGCTGCAGGCCTGGGCGGGAATCCGGCAGTGGCGGTGCCGTCGTCGTTGAGTACGCCCGCTGCCTCATCCATCTGGAGTCCTGCCTCCATCTCTCCCGGCTCAGCCCCTGCGTCTGTGTCGGTGCCTGAGCCACTGGCCGCGCCTAGTAACGCATCGTGCATGCAGCGCTCAGTAGCCACAGGCCCGGCCTCGGCCGCAGCCTCTTACCCCATGTCCTACGGCCAGGGCGGCAGCTACGGCCAGGGCTACCCCACGCCCTCGTCTTCCTACTTCGGCGGAGTGGACTGCAGCTCCTATCTAGCGCCCATGCACTCGCACCACCACCCACACCAGCTCAGCCCGATGGCACCCTCCTCCATGGCGGGCCACCATCACCACCATCCCCACGCGCACCACCCACTGAGCCAGTCCTCAGGCCACCACCACCACCACCACCATCACCACCACCAAGGCTATGGCAGCTCGGGGCTCGCCTTCAACTCTGCCGACTGCTTGGATTACAAGGAGCCTGGCGCCGCCGCCGCTTCCTCGGCTTGGAAACTCAACTTCAATTCTCCCGACTGTCTGGACTATAAAGACCAAGCCTCTTGGCGGTTCCAGGTATTGTGAGCCCAGGAGAGGGAGAGGAAGAGAAATGAAACTACCTACGCCCTCCTTGGTTCCCGTCCTGTTGCTGCTGCACCTCCCGCCTTTGCCTCAGCTTCTGTAGACATGATTTTCATGCCCCCAAACGATTCCCGTTGCCTGCACTGCCGCTCTCATCTTTGTGCCATTTGCCTGGCGGGGGGGTAGGGGGTGCAAACCCGCCCACCCTTCGGATGAGCGGACTGGTGCTTTGGCCTGGCCCACAAGTTCTATACGGGAGAGCTGTGCCTCTCCCTTTCAGCCCCTGACGAACTTCTAAGTCACCCCTTTCCAGTCATTCTGGACAATTAGTATGCACTTGCAGCCTTCGGAGTTCTTCGCTCTGACTGGCTGATGCAGCCCTACACTTTTATTTATTCTTTCTGGACTCTGGAGTCACTAACTGGCATGTGTCTGACCACTGGAGTGCACCCACAATGCTCCCAACCACCCTCCAAATGTTCCTCCCGTGCGGGCTGCCATCCCTTCCTCTGCCCGAGCCCCGCTTCCCGCCTGCAGGCCAGAGCTTCCCGGCTTCTCCTCCTCCCCAGCAGGACGCGCAGGGGCCGGGCCGCAGGGAGGGGCGCCCCCCAGCTTCTCACGCTCAGCCCCGCCCTGCGCAGAACTGGCTCAAGCTTCCGCCTGTGTGGGAATGCTGTACATAGTGGGGTCCGTCCCAGCGACCACTTACACTTTTTAGTTGCCGTTGGTTGAATGGAGCATATCTCTTTTTAGTGCCCAGGAAACAGAACTTTAAGATATATACATATATATACACACACATATATATAGAAAACAAAAGCAAAAATATATCCCTCAGTTCCCCTGCGTCTCTTCCCTAAACGATGGCGCTTTTATTTTTTCAGTTGTTGCAAAGCTGCCCTGCCCTCACACTTGTTTCCTATGTGTATTTATTAAAGAGAACCATTTGGTTCCAGGAAGCCGGGCGCAGAGGGTCGGGGAGTGTGGAGGAAGCAGCGGGTCAGGCTGCAGGGAAGGGGGCTTAGGCTGGGATGGGGCGCAGGGCTGAGTCCACCGGGTCTAAGTACAGGGTCGCAGTCCCGGTTTAGAGACCAAAAACGAAAGAAAAAAAATAAAAATGCAGCATTATGGAAAAATAAACCCAGGCCCCAAAACCCAGTTCCCATTCCCTGTCAGCTTCTTTCTCTTTAAGCACCGCCCCCCCCCCGTTTTGTCTAGTGAGTTCTTAGTGCACCTTCATTCTCTGAAATTTGCGGTGAGCCCGCGCCTGTGTATCAATTTCGGCTTTGGCCATTTCGTCCAGTAGGTGGGAAAGTAATTCGTAAACTTAATTTGTCCGATGTGAAGATCACAAATTACTTGTTGAAATGTAAGGCAGCCCCCTCCTTCCCTTTATCTACATTATTTCCCGAAAATAAATGCCGATAAATGAACGGTTTGTCAGTGTGGCTCTTCTGATTCCAGCACCCGGTCCCGGTCTGGGGAGGGGCAGCACTAAAAGGAGGGACACTCACATGTTAATAACCCGCGTGTTAATGATCTTTGTGAAGCTGGGGGTCCAAAGGATAGGGCGGGAAGACGTGTCAAGAGGAGTCCCCAGAAACGTCCTCTCAGGGAGTGTCCTCCCCTCACGGTCGGTCCGGCCTCTTCCCCTAGGCGGTTTGACCCCACACCCCCTCTCGCCATCTCGGGCAGAGACAGGTGTCAGGACTCAATTCCCCAAGCAATTCCTTTCTCTTTAGAGGCTGGAGCAGGAGCCTGGCACTGATTTCTTCACCCTAATTGCCTGCACCAGAAAGGAGAGGGGGAGGGGAAGAGGGTCGGGAGGCGGGAAAGGATAGCTCTGTAATGCTCTCAGAGCGGAGCCAAAAAGGAAAAGAAAAAAAAAAAAAAGATCCAAGTCCTGCATGTTGGCAGCAGACAACCTTCCTTTCTGTTGAGCTGCCCCGGGTGGCTTCACGACGGCGGGGGGATCCGCGTCATTCCTTCCACGTGCTCTGTCCTTGTAAAGCTTCAGTCCCTGTCCAGAATTAGCCAAATCATCTTTGTTCAAATTGTGAAGTTTAAAACGCAAACACAAAATCTAGAAAGTCGACAATGACGCTTATCACTTTGGCTGGAAGCAGGGAGTCGGAAAGGACCGTTCCACCTTCCCCTGAGGGAAGACGGCGATAGGGGTGGGGATGGGGTGCTATGACCTCCGCTCCACACACACAAAACCCAGAGCCCGGAGCTCTTAAGACTCTGGCCTGAAACCTCCTGGGTGTGAGAAGCTGCTCAACTTTTCCACCGGCGGGAAGGAAATAAGGAAAAAACGAAAAGTTCCCTGCGAAGTTACCAATACACCTTATTCTTTTTATTCCGTGTGAGACCTGAAAACACAACGTGAAGTCGAGTTTGGAGAACGACCCCTCCCCCAGGTCCCGCGCGCAGCGAGGGCTCCAGGCTGCGAGCCCCTGCTGGAGAGGAGCCTTCTCGCCGCGTGCTCCCTGCCGACTCCCGAGGCCTGGCCGGGACGCCGCGTGCGTTCCCACTCAGACAGGCCCGTCAGCCCCGACTCCGCCAGGGCCCGCTGGGGGGCGCAGCGGCGGCACCGCCCCCTGAGGGAGATCCGGAGCGCAGGGCCCGGCTGCGCCCGCGCGGGCTGCTCTTTAAATGCCCGGCCGAGACCGCCTTGCGTGACTGGCCGTGGCCCCTCGGGTACGCGGTCGACACGTGCAGGCGGCCGGGCAAAGAAGCGTCCCGCTCTCTCCACACGGGCCCGGGCCTCCCTGGGGTCTGCTCAGCCGACCCTGCCTGACCCACCGCGGGTCGCCCTGGCCGACGCGGCAGCCGCCAGTGCCGTTCGAGGCCCTGGTGCTAGGCTGCCCCCTCCCGCAACCGGAGGTGTGTTCTGGGCGGCCCACCGGTACTCCTGGCAGCTCGGTGGACCGAAACCAGGAGACCCGGCTTTGCACCTGCTCGGACAACTGTGTGGCCCCCGGAGCAAGGTACCCAAACAAACCCCTGGGCCCCAGTTTTGTCGCATTCGTTGTTTGGCCCCACTGGTCTTGGGACGGTCCAGAACCTAACACTTTGGGTTGAAGAAGCGGGCAGTAGGTCAAATGTGGGGGCCCGGCCACTCCGCAGCTTCTAGAAGCTTCGGCGCCTGCGTGTCTAGGCAGACGGGGACCAGTGGCCAGGCACACGGAGGCCTGGCGGGAGTTCCCGCCCGGGGGACGAGGCTTCGAGGAGAGGCACGTGCTTTTTCCAGCGCCTTCCACCCTGAGCCGAGGCCACGCGGCGCCGAGTGGAAACCACAACCTGGTTGGGCCACCTCCGGCCTCAGGGACGCGGGAGCTGGAGGGAGCGGGGTAGAAGCGTGGCTCTGGCGGGGGAGGCCGGAGGCGGCCCAGTGAGCAAGGCCAGGGCGGCAGTGCTGGCTAGGATTCGCCGGGGAGAGGCAGCGGCTGCGGGAGCTCGGAAGGTCCCTCCCAGCCCGGCCACCTGTTAACCCGCAAGTTCTGTGAGAACTGTCCTCAGTCCCTTCCCCTTGTCCCAAGGGAGGTTCGTTCAGTTTGGGTTTTAGTATTACTGACACAACTGAAGCAGTTAGAGTGGAAGCAGCTGAAGGAAATTTAGCAACTTCAGAACATCTAGCAACTTTTAGACGCCAACAGTTGTCTTTCTTTGAGTTCCTAACGAAATCTTCCTGGTTTCTAAACTCACGGCTTGTATTATCCTTTCATACTGTAGGGGCAAAAAAGTATGCCCTTAAGTGAACACGTGTGATGTGCTTCAGGGGAAAAGGATAGATCATATTCGTGAGTTTTTGAGTTAAAAAAGTCTTAAAGCCTTCTCCAGAGCATCAAATTAATTTGCTGAAGCTCTGAAAAGAGTGGGTGAATTTACTTTGTTGTAGAGCTTTTCAGTACTCGTTCATGGTAGCTAATGAGATTTCCCTAAATTTGAGTTTGTTTGAGATTTCCCTAAATTTGAGTTGGTTTTTTTAAAGGAAAACGTATCACCTGAGAGGAAAAACAGGTGAGAAGACTCTGAATGTCAGCAAATTCATGCCTGCTACATTACACAAACCAAAAAACTGAGTGGTTTCATTTCTTGTATCAGAATTGCTAGTTTTTCATGAATTTTGTTCAAAATAGTTTCAGAGCAAAATTGAGAATTTTTTCAATTGTGAAAATAAATGACAGATTCACTACTCTGACAGAATTAATTGTTACTGATGTCATTAAGCACTGATCGGGACTAAAAATTTAGAGATAAAAATAAAATATATCTGACATATTAAATGTAGTTAATATATACATTATTGGTAAAGAAAATCTGTATTACTATTCAAGACAAAAAAAATCACTTGGCTTCTGTTGCAGTTAAGAAAAGCAACAAGATATCTTTGTAAAATTCCTTAATTGAAACTGAACTTCTCAAGGAGTTATATTTTCCACACTTTTCTCTCCCTTCCCCTATACATTTTAGTGTGTGCAATGACAATGAACAGCTCTTAAGTTTAACTAAGGAATACTTATATTCAATAATACCATACGTAAAGTAAAAACCACTAACTAGAAAACGAAGTCTGCATAATTATGCACTGCTTATTTTACAACAAGAGGACTGCTCCATTGTTTTTAAGAAAGAGTTGTTTAATTGAATGTGTGGGTGTCTAGAATATACATTTTGAAAAATAGAAGTTTTGTGGGGGCTCTGTTTAGTATATGGTTCCTGAAAAATCAATTATGCCTCTTAATCATCCTGTTAATATTTACTGATATCTGAAAAAAATATTTTGTGTGTGTGGGGGGAAGGACGTGCCATTTTGACATAATAATTTTTAATCATGCTTTTAAATAAAGTTGGATTTTACTTAAATTAGGTAGTCTTTCAAAAGTTTTTAAAAATAAAAAATGTTTCCCAGAAAAATTCGAGTAATTTAGGTGAAATGGCAGTTATATAATATTGCCAAAGTTGAAACTGCTTTTAAGTATGTCCCTTTTTTCCTAGGAAAAAAATAGAGCAAGGAAGTATACAGTGTGCTCATAACTAAAATGCATACCCCTCTAATTATGAAATTATACATTCATGTGTCTAGGATTATTACTTCAAAGAAAGCATATGCTTAAAATATGATCAAATAGGACTAAGGCTTGATTTAATTAATTACAATCCATCAAAATTTAAACACTGAAAATCTATTGTGTTTCTAAAAATTGTGCTTCTGTCCCCTTTAGGTAATTTACTTGTGGCTAATATAATCAAAGACACAAAATTCCAGTCCATTCCAAAAGTCATAAAATTTTGTTTTTTAAAGGTTATTCTTTATCAAACAGCTTATGAAAAGTATTTTAGAAATTTTTAAGTGGATTATAAAGTTAGTATTTAAAAAACATGAGAATTTTTTAGGATCGGAGTATAAATGAACAACTAATTTTGACATTTGGGGTAAAATTATTTTAAATGTGGGAATACATAGACTCTGATTGAACAACTTGGTGTCTAAAGAGCTCATGAAATATTTTTAGGACACAAATATTCTTACGCATGTTCAGAGCTCTGAATGCTTATAAAATACACTATCTTCTGTCATAGATATTTTAATAAAGGAACATACTATCTTTTAAAATTTCATTAAGAATTCTTATTGTGAAATAATACAAAAGAAAGCATAAAACAAATACATACTCGTTAAAGAAAAAGGAAAATTACTAGAAACAAAAAGTTCTTAAATACTTGGAAAACAAAATTTGGAGTTGGTTACAATATCAGTGTTTAAAATTGATGTTATATAAATTATGTCTATGTTTTAGGAATTTTCATAAATTCTTCAGAGCAGTGGCTGATATAGGGATACCTTTTTAAGGCAGAAAAATAATTAAAATAATAGGATATAAAAGTTCATAGGCCTTTGAAAATCCATAGAATTTGTTTTTTGATGGAAGTATTGTGCTTTATGTTTATTTATATTTTTAGTGAAGGGGCACCGAAAGAGTGTCTTCTTGTTTCGCAAGCATGGATATTTGATCTCAGCCAAAGCTGTGTAGTTTCAGCTCTTGATTTTATTACTGATGACTCTCAAATCCATATTACTAAGTCAGATCCCTCTGTTGGACTTCTCGTACATATACATTCACTGAAAAGAGGCTGTTGAAATTTGGCCCTTAGAAAGTTAATGATATGCTTTAAAATGATGAAGGAAGAGAAGA